CAGTGCCTTGGGGCCAGGGCTGGCAGAAGCACAGAACCTGGGCTGGCAGGGGCTCTGTGGGGCCAGACTGGCTCTGCCCTTCTTCTTGCCAGCATCCTAGCTAACCTCAGTCCTGGGGCTCACTGGGACTGCACAATGACTGGGATCTCTGCCTGCTGCAGGCTGAGTGCCCTGAGGGCTTGCTGCTGCTGGCAGGGGCTGTGCACAGTGTGGGGGTCATGTTTATAGGAGGAGTCCCATATGCACATCCCAGCCCCCCTCCCCCACATACATGTATAACCAGCCACATCCCTCCATACCCCTCCCCCCAAAATATACAAAAGATAGGCTTTATTTTAAGGTATTATGCAAACACATTCATTTCAAAATTTTTTTGTCCTGATTTGTGTGTGATTTATTTATTCCCACCCCCCTCTTTCCAAGATAGCAAACCCCCTTACCTAAAGAAGTATTTCCAGGGGCAAGGGGAGGAACCTCCAGTGGTAAAGGACCCTGGGACAGAGCACCTGTCAAGGGGCTGTGGCCCTCAAGTCCAGCTGAAATAATTGCTCACCCCTGTACTAGTGCCATTCAGAATTATTGTAGGAAAGATTCACTTATCCTAAGTGTGCCTTTTCAGTGCTATATGCTATCCCATTCCTTTATCTAAAGGCAGGGGGCACTAAACTTTTTTAAAACCTTTTTATTATACAAATATTAAAAACAAATGGTGAAAATGCAAAGCTATGTGGCCTTCCCAGGGGCTGAGCTTAAGATGCTTGTTAGTAACAAAAAAAAAAAAACCCCCAAAAAATCTTGTCACTGGCACATGAAACCCCCTACCCCATGCCTCTCATGAGATTACACACATAAGACCAGCTCTGTCTTCCATCTTGCAGAGGACCCTCTTGATGGCCTAGTGAGATGCAGATGGGTCTGTGTTTTGTTGCAAGGTGAAGTGTCCCAATTCAAATGGAAGGGGAAGAAATGGAGGCCTTCAGATCTGGCCCCTGCAAGCCAGTTTCTGCTGCTTTTCAGAGTTGCCATCTTAGCCTGGCCCAGCAAGAAATTGGCTGGTTACTTGTGTCCAAGAAAAAAATGCAGTTAGAATATTTGCCCTGAGGGCTTGCTGCTGCACCAGTTAGAATAGGTGCAGAAAGGGCCAACTATGCTGTTTGCATACGATAGTCTCCTTAGGAGAAGAGAGAAACCAAGAATACTAAACTTGAGTCTGTCAATATGATAGTCCTGCCCACAAGTACTCTTGGGGAAGGAGTCTGCTCCAACCAGTCTCCATATGCTGCACATGAATAAACTCCAGAGCTGATTGCTATGGAGTTAATTGCTCCTGGGCATACACTCAAGCAATGCACCTAGGACCAAAAAAACTCTGGAGCAATGAGCTCTGGAGTTTATTCATGTGCACTGATTGCATGTGTAGACATGCCCTGTGTAAAGTAAGGGCAGGGTCAGAGCAGCATAGCCTCTTGGCTCCATCCTACAGTGATCTATGCAGACTTGCTTCTTTCCTTCTAGGAGCAAATCAAGTAAACTTAACAACTGAATAGTCATTGTCCCTGCAGAAGTCTCATTGAGCCACGTGAAGGTTGCCAGTGTATTGAGATGAAAAATAGTGGCTTGTATGTAATTGTAGAAGCTTGTGCAGCTTTTCTCACAAATAAATACTGTTGTTTTTTTTCTGCATGAGATGATAATAGCCTTCATTTCTATAATGACATAATTTCACTTCTGAATTGCCCACAAGAAAAATGTTATGAGCTGGTCTATAGCTGGACATACTTTTAAGCAGGGTTTAAAAGGGAAGATGGGACTACCTTATTGGTAGGGACCAACCTAAATCACAGAGGCTGCCTCTGTTTTTCATGGTTCTGGCACAGTGTCCAGTACCAGTCCACACAGTATAGGCTCCCCCTGGCCACCTGTCAATCTCTGGGGAGGGGCAGGACTTCTGGGGCTCTTGGCCAGAGGTGTGGAACCCCCCTCATCCTTTCCTGGCCCCACATACCTGATTCAGTGCACAGGCCTGCACTATGCAGCCTGCCAGGCTTCCCACAGGTCCAGAAATCTGGCATCAGTGGAGTGGCAGTGTAATGTTGCCACTGCCAAATTTTTGGACTCATGGGGAGCCCTGTATGCCAGATGACATGCCTCTGAACTAGCTTCTTGGGCGTGTGCATCAACTCTTCTAGTCTGTAATAAGTTTGTCCTGTCCTATACTTGTATAACTAGAGTTTAAAAGTTCTTTCATAATTTAGCCAGAACTAGACTGGTTCAAAGTTACAGTAATTGTTGAGCTGTCCTTAACTCTGCTTCTATACAAGCCTAAAACAGTTTCAGTATGAGCTGTTCTGATACAGTTTAATACTACTAGATTTGTTGCAACTATTCAGATCTCTAACATGTTACATATTTGTGTATAAATACAGCTGGGAAAGTATTCTTTTATAAAACTAGTCATTCCTGTTTCCTCTGAAGCAATCTTCTTACTTTTGGCTACAGGTGGAAGGGGGATATCAAGGTTGTCTTTAAGACCAGTGGAAACTTAATGTAACCTTCCCTTTTTCTTGTGTGAAGGTCTTTGTATGGCTTCTCCAGTCTTAAATAGCTTGGGCTGCAGCTTTTTAATTTTCTTGATATCATCTCTACTGTTGTGCTGTGCAGGCATTAAAATCAAATGATTTTCCTTTATACTTTTTAACTGTAAAATATTCAGACACTTGGAATACTTGCTGCTAGCTTTTTTGTTTAAAGTGGAAGGTGGAACAAGCTCAGGGGTGTCCAGTTCTAAGGTGGGCATATTTTTCAGTTGCAGGTGACTAAGCAGGCATCGGCTGGTATATCTTGCTGCTATAGTTCTGAACAAAAGAAAGCAAATAATACATCTGTTCTGTATTGGAGAATATAGAAACTAGAACTTGATACATTTTGTCACAGCCTTGGACTCTGATATTAGATAAGGAGACTGACAGCATGTTTTACTTAACTTTAAAAGAACCAAGAGAACAATTTTTCCCTGGCACGCTGCACTTGCTAACAATTAGGTCCCACTCAAGTAACTTTTCATT